TGGAGGCAATTCAGCAATGAATTAACTGTTCTGTGAGAGCCAATTCCGAATAAGATACAAACCTAAAAAAAAGAACTTTTTGCAATAAACGCCAAAGAAAAAACAAAACTTACACATTGATGCAACAGACAATGAGACTAACGCCGGCGGTGAACACGTAGATGGCGCCGGGGAAGACCTCAAGCGTGGCATTATAAAGCAAAGTGTACACCGACGAAGCCACGACCGGGATGATGGTCTCAGCTGCGGCCAAGACGGCGAAAACGGCTCCTTGCTCGCTGTTCTTGACTAATTTAGAGGCGGCGGAACGAGCGGCCAAGGAGGGCATGCCGCGGGGTAGGCCTACGATGGATGCTGGCGAGGGGGGGAGGTGAAATCTTCTATTAGGAAAGTGTTTGAAGAGTGGAGGGGGAGGGAGGAAGGGAGGGTATAGGAAGGGAGAGGGAGAGAGACAGAAGGGGGAGTTAGTAGAGAGGAGGGAGGGAGGGAGGAAGGGGGGGGTGAGATAGAGAGAGAGGGAGAAAGAGAGAGAACGAGAGAGAGAGAGAGAGAGAGAGAGAGAGAGAGAGAGAGAGAGAGAGAGAGAGAGAGAGAGAGAGAGAGAGAGAGAGAGAGAGAGAGAGAGAGAGCGAGAGAGAGACATAGACAGAGAGAGACAGACAGGTAAACAGTTACAGGAGGAGAGTTAGCATCATCTTTATAGTTCAAAGACAACTTCATGAAAGAATAGATCATCAATTAAATAATTAAATAGAATAACCAACATAGCATGAAGTTATACAACACATAATAAAAGCCAAACTGCCCATGGCAATTTGCAACCAAATATATAAACTGAAAACCGCAAAAAATCACATACAAAACACATTCTTTTTCTCGACAACGTCATTAGACATTCTTAGGAAAATACATCTTGAATTCCTCACCAACGTAGAATACCCAGGAGACAGGCGCAGTTGCTCTAATGACGTAGGTGAACATCATGGAAACTCCGCCCACGAATCCTAGGGTGCCGTCCGTAACCCCGAACCGATAGCTGAGCAAAGGCATAACCACAAGAATGCCTGTTGTATGGAAGGGGGAGATATGAGTGGTTTTTATCTCCTCTTGCGATAGTCTGTGCGCCATGGGGCTTCATCTCCTTTTGTTTAGAAAGCATGTGATACCATTTCGAAAGCTGTGATTCTCTGAACTTCAACTATGGTGTGATGAATGATAGGGAGATGCTGTTTTATTATACACACACACACACACACACACACACACACACACACACACACACACACACACACACACACACACACACACGCACACACACACACACACACAAATATATATATATATATATATATATATATATATATATATATATATATATATATATATATATATAGTTATACACACACGCGTGTGTGTGTGTGTTTATATATATATATATATATATATATATATATATATATATATATATATATATATATATATTTCATATATATACATATATATACATATATATATATATATATATATATATATATATATATATATATATATATATATATATATTTCATATATATACATATATATACATACATATATATATATATATATATATATATATATATATATATATATATATATATATATATATATATATACACATACATGTATATATATGTATACATATACATATATATATAAAAGAAGAGGAAAACACACGCACTTATGCGTGTTGCCTTTGTGTTTATCGGACTTTCCAATAGTAGACTTACCTAGGGCTGATAAAGGGGTGTCGACAATGGACCAGGTGGTAAAGGTATTGATGTCCCAAGAGAACTTCTTGCGAGTGAAGAGGAAGTCGTAGCTGTACAACCCTGTTGACCAAATTCCAGACTTTGGATTTCTGTATTAAATAGGCACATAATTCTACAATAAAAAAAAATGTTTAAGGCACATATAATGACACGTATCCTTACCGTACGTGAAGAGGACTAAAGAGCAAATGATGATGTTCCCAATGATGTGACCGCGGGCCTTTCCTTCGCGGGACCTGAACACAACCATCAGCGTCTCCTTCAGATTGGCAGGAGAGAGGACCTCGCATACGCTTCCCTCAGCCTCAGGGGCGTTGCTGCCGTCGGGGTGATTCTCAAGCCGCAGGAGCAGGTAGACGACGCTGACGGCAGACAAGCCCGCCTGGAGACCGAACACCAGGACGTAGCCTCCGACCCGGAAGAGGTAGGTGGCGACGGCCTGACCCAGCGGCAGACACAGCAGCATGATGACGCCCACCATGGACACGCGAGACGTCCGCGACTTCCGGCCCGACGAGACGCTGACGTAGGCGAAGGCACCCAGGAACATGCCCGTGATGGCACCCGTGCAGCCCACCGGCACGAAGGACAGGAGGATGAAGGGCGGCGAGAGGGACATCCAGTAGGAGTTCGCCGTCATGCCAATGCCCATCAGGAGCTGCCCCACCACAGGAAGGATGATCGGCAGGCGTCGGCCGCGGCGGTCGCTCCACGCCCCCAGGAGCAGCACAGCGAACAGGGCGGGGATGTATTCGATGACCTGCTTGTACACGTTGTACAGGTTGACGACTCGCTGCACATTGTCCTGCTGCTGCGTGTACTTCCCTGAGTCGAGCTGAGCGCAGACCTCGTCGCTGTATCCGAACTGGAGGGAACAAATTTTATCGATCATCAGGTTGGTGGTGAAGATCAGCGCCGACCCGTAGCCGAAAGCAGTCAGCGCCAGAGCCGGTTCAACTGTGATGTTCGACAGGAAACTTTTCTTTCCAGAACTCCCCGGGATTTTGTTTTCGACAAGAGCCGTCGTCTCCTTCTCAGACATTTTGAAGAGCACTACGTATAAGTCAGATTTAATATTAATCCTATAAATTTCCCATTTCACTCGATTCTATAACGGACGATGATATAGCGAACAATAGATTTAAATAAACAACATTGAACTAAGCCAGCGCAAAGACGGACAAAGAGAAGTGACTCCGGGAAGCTCTCTCGCTACAAGGTCACTGCCGACAAGAGATTATTCCGCAGCATTGTGTACCCGACGATTAATCGGTTGCAGTTACTCATAGCCTGAATGTGGTTAATCATACAAAGTCTTATCGCGGGAAAATGCTGACAGGCAGCTTTTATGATACTCATGAATTGCATTGTAAAATTCTAATTGTACACAGATTAGTGACTGGGCCGTTACGAGAACTGCACCAGCAGTGATAGCAAACTATAACGAAATCAAGATATCGAAGAAAGAAATGCGCGTGTGTGTGTTTGTTTGTGTCTTGTATGTTCGTTTATAGATTAATTCGTTTGAAAATTTACACCTCAATCATTTTCATTACAGATCATGAATCTATTGTAATCTGTTCAAAATATACCACAATGCATAGGCGACGGAGCGAGTCTGTGACGGGGGGGATGGGGGGGGCGAATGTGAAAATGCATAGTTTGATGATCTCTTAGACAAAAAGTGCCTTTCACATTACAACATGCGCATGATACAGTTCTCACATAATTATATACTTTGCACATCAGTGTATTCAGTTCTGCGTTAAATAAATAATACCTCGAAGTAATATATCCATATGGCTTCCACAATTTATATGTATGTTAACTGTGTTTTGTTGTGGTGGGGTGGGGAGGGGGCGATTTGCTTAAAATATAGATTACATGTCCATTCGAACTCCGCTAGTTAGGCGTGCATGAGCCCAGGAAAGTTTGTCCTTTGCTATACTATACTCCACTATACCTTTACAATACTTTTAATAAATCAAGCTCATGGAAACCAACATGTCTACTGTAAGAGTGATACCTATTCAGGTAAAATGAGATATAGTATAATTATAGTATATTTTTATTAGTCTGTGTGAACATGTAAAACCAAATGTAAAGCACAATTTTTTCACCAATTTCGGGAAGGAGGGGGGGCCTCGCCCATGTGCCCCCCCCCCCCCCCCCGTCCCGCCGCCTATGCCACAATGTGTGTTGTGTGATGCACAAAAAGAACAAACTGCTACGAATGGACAGGCATGTTATTTACCAGTGGTCTTCATAAGCAGAATCTGTGTTTATTTTAGCATTGCTCGGTCACATGAACAAAACTGTATCGAGACTTGTTTAACCGCAACCAGATTAAACACTTTTCTCTTCATCCTTTTAAATGATAGTTCTGATAATGTTTCATGATAGCTGCAATCAGTAATTATGATATTATATATATACATATATACATAAATATTTAAATATATGTATGATTATATATATATATATATATATATATATATATATATATATATGAATATATATAGGATTATATATATATGAATGTATATAGGATTGTATATATATATATATATATATATATATATATATATATATATATATATATATGTATATATATATATATATATATACATGAATTTATATAGGATTATATATATATATATATATATATATATATATATATATATATATATGAATATATATAGGATTATACATATATATGTATGTGTATGTGTGTGTGTGTGTGTGTGTGTGTGTGTGTGTGTGTGTGTGTGTGTGTGTGTGTGTGTGTGTGTGTGTGTGTGTATGTGTGTGTATGTGTGTGTGTGTGTGTGTGTGTGTGTGTGTGTGTGTGTGTGTGTGTGTGTGTGTGTGTGTGTGTGTGTGTTGCGTGTGTATGTATGTATGTATGTATGTGTGTGTGTGTGTGTGTGTGTGTGTGTGCGTGTGTGTGTGTGTGTTTGAGTGTTTGTGTGTGTATGTATGTATGTATGTATGTATATATGTATGTATGTATGTATGTATGTATGTATGTAGCATCACCGCATAATTGCACCATTTTCGACTTGTTTAATAGTAAGGATAAGTCCGATATTTAAAACTGAGGTCGACACGTTACCACTGTCCTAGCCTGGAGGCTTTAAAGAGTAAAACGAATACAAGAAATGGGTCCCTTACGCGAACGCCGTTGTTTACGTCCCGACCCGAGACAGGTCTTGACGTGGCTGGAACGCGTACCGGCAAGATACTCAAGAAACGAGTAATTAAAAGATATTCCTTAGCTGAGACCGGGTTTAGGATTGTGCCATGGCAAAATCCATCTCATTAAAACCCAAACGTGAACTGCTAAACCCCAATTTTGATGGATATAAGCTGTCACTAGATGGAGATGTTACTGTATACTCACAAAGTGTTAATGAAGGTAAGTTCATTTATTCATTTATCTGTCACTTAATGTAATTATGATACACGTATTTGTTATTTGTTACCGAGAGCGACAGAGCCTCCAGATACGAAGTCCCAAACCAGGACTAGACTCCCCAGTACCCCCCCCCCCATCCTTTATTACCACTTTATGCCTACTTAAAGAAAAAACATGACATGAAGAACTCTGTGTGAGAGTGTCGTGGACTTCGTTTCTGATTGGCGATACACAGCATACATTCTCATCATTATTCAGTATATATGTTTATGAACAAAGATGAACAGATTTTTAATACATTTTGTTCCTCAGCCTTGGAGCCCAAGAAGAGCAACACCAGCTGCTATCTCCGCACACGAATAGAAGCCTTGCACAACCATCTCTTCAAGGATCCTTTTCATGTTAACCATATTTATTACTTCACCAGCAGAGGTCATCTTATCAAGCATCAGTACTCAAAGGTATTTCTATTATCTTCAATTCTTAATTATTTCTGAGTTTTGTGTTTTTGTTGTAATAGCTGTCCAAAGCTGAATGAATGTTTAACCCCTTGCCGCCGGGTGACGGCGATACGCGTGTAAACAAATCGCTCGAAAGGTGGCGTGCGGCCAAACCAGCCGGCGGCGCGCCAAAGCGCGGCGAGCCAGTGATTCGGGCTGACGCCCCGTACTCCTGCGCTCAAAGTCGGCGCGCTGCCTTTGTTTGCCAGAGCGTAGAGTTTTATTTTCCTTTAGTACACCCGGCGTCATTGGGTTAAACGTAAAGTCTGTATATAAAGTACACATCTTGTTTATTTGTGTGAAATTGTTCACCTGTTCCTTTTTTATATGTGTTTTTATATATGATTATGTATTTTGTTCATGATAGATTGATGAAACTTTTATCTGTCGTCAGGATTCGAAGCTCAGCAGTAGTGAAGTGGTATGGCAGGCTGATATGTCTGAGTTAAGTGAAGAGGAGGCTGAAGGGGACAGGTATTTTGCAAGTCTTCACTTCCCCTCCGAAGATCTGGCTGTTGTTACAAATGGAAGAGGAAGTTTGCACATATTAGAAACAGGCGATAGAACCACTACACAGAGCTGGCTGGTAATTTCTTCTGTTTCTTCAAGATTTGTGTCACTTAAGAATGCCAGTATTAATTGACAATCTTGCTTTTTATTTGATAGAGGAACATGTATTATGTAAGGCTTACATTTAGTTATCTGTGCTCAAGCCCTAAAGAACAGGAAAAAACAAAACTCAGCAAATAGAAAAAATAGAAGATGTAATGACCATCTTTTGCCCTAAAAAGCACCCGCAAGTCTGGAAAAAAACAAAACTTTAAAAAATGTAATAAACCGATGGGAAAAAAGCAGGCAAACATTAATTTTGATCTATCTTCCTGGCTACAGCAGGCGACATGTATCATTCTTAGGGTGTTAAGAACATTTCGTAGTGTATTTAATCTTAACCCATTCGCGCCAGGCGTCACGTATACGTGACAGGCTCACTGTGAGTTTATTTGTTTAATTGTTTTCACACATAGATGGCTACACTTGTACTTGTGTCGCCTGTTTAACCTTTTCTTCAATTTACGAAATTATTTTGCGTTATCTTATTTTGTTGTTACTAATGTTTATAACATTATAGTAATTATAATGTTTAAAATAAAAATAATCATCGATATTCGTAACACTAGTAAAAACACATTTTCAAGTGAAGGTAAAATCAGGTAAGGCAGAGCCATCTAGTGTAGAGAAATTTCATAAAGAATGAGCACAGCATTTTCCCCATTTTTTGTTCATTTTTACACGGTGCGAATGGCTTAAAGAGATTACCTATTTTCTCATGATATAGAGATGTGCAAGGTTATATGATAGTATATGTATGAAATAAAGTCTAAAATCATAACCTTTACAAATTTTAATCAAATATTAAAAATAGTGTCCCATACATCCCTATATGATATACTATAATTTAGATTTTTGTTTTCCTTTTGTTATTCATGATCATATTATCATATTTGATTATATTATAACTCATCATTTTTTTTTATATATGCTTCACACACACAAGTTCAAGTTAAACCATCTATCAGGAATGCCTTCAAACAAACACGGAACGAGGGGTTATCATGCAGTCATACATAGAAGATGGAGATGACTACCAACGACACCTCCACTGCCTCATAGTGTCAGTGACAACACAGCAGGAACTGATCAGTAATGAGCAGTATGTCATTGTGGATGAAGGACTGAAGAATGCAAAGGATGTTGCTGTTCATCTCCTCAGTTGGCTTGTCATCACATATAATGGTGAGGAAAAAGAAGAATTGCATGGAAAGAGAAAAAGTAGATGGTATGCAAAGAATTTTTTTTTAAAGAAGGGTTACAAATCACTTATCTAGGTGGATTTTAAAATCTATTTTGACTTTGAGTAAAATTTATGTTTATGTTCACTAATAATTTTCTAGTTTTTGTCATTCTAGTTTTCTTCATTTTAAAGTTAAATTATAATTTTGACTGCTTTACTTCATATGGTGGCATTGAAACCAATTTCATCCACAACTTTTACAGAGTCGCCTTCTGAAAATTATCATTAAAACACTATGATTATTCTCTGTAGTTATGAAATGGTTTGGCCATAGTTAGTAGACAACTTGAGAAAAGTGTTTTCAAACTGATTAATTTTCCGCTTTCTTCTTAGGTGCAACTTGGGAACCAGGACGAGTGAGAAGGCTGGCAGGAAGAGGCACCATAGAATACTGCTCCTTTGACACCGCAGCATCAGGACTCATCATTTTGTGCCACAGCAACTATTCTTTTGTGGAAGATTCAGCAAGTCCCATCTCAGCACCCAAGCCGAAGGAGAGAGTGGAGGAAAAGAAGATGCCAAAATATACGTATATGCAGAATGATGGTAAGAGTATTGATTGTGATGCTTTTAAAGATGGTGGCCAGATCCAAGAAATGGTTTTCATTTTCTTGCCAAAACTTACTCAGGTATCATATGAAGAATTTAATAAGTATAAGAACTCTTGATAGCATCCACATATAATTTAAAAATTTGAGGAACACATGAGAATCCTGCATGCACTGCATCTCACAAAGCCTAATGGTAGCCTCTCTCTTAAGCAACCTACTATAGCATTGTTCCTCATTCTTTTTTTCCTTCTGTCACTTTATCTCTCATTCATTTATTCATTCACTCATTTGTTCATTATATAAATTCTCTTTTTCTTGTTTTCTCTCTACATCACAGTGTCTGTCTAATTCTCCCTTTCTCATATCCATTCATACTTTCTCTTTACCTCTTTCTTTCTTTTCCTTATTCCTCCATTCATCCCTATGCTCTTTTTCCCCATCTGTCTGCCTGACAGGAACTGTAAGTATCATTGGCTTCTCATCACTTATGGGTTATTCATTTTTTCTGCCTCACAGTAATAGGATTCTATTTGAAACTTGCTTTTCTGCACTTCAGCATCTTATATTACATGTCTGTTGTTGTCCATAAGACAAATTTTGTCCAAAAAATAAGCAGATTGAAGAACATACAGGTTGCTTCCACACCAGACACAATAGTAGCATCAGCCAGTCACCTGTTTGTATCATCAGGGATTCACATTTGGTTCAGGGCCTGGGTGATTTCTGTTCAAATTACTTGTCAGATTAAAGTCATTAATTTATGAGGATTATCAAATGATACCAAAGACTAGGTTTTGAAAAGTGGTCATCATCTTTATAGGATGAGATAAATTATTGCATATTCAAACATTAATGTATTGAGGTGTAAGTGAAATCACTGTGTATGCTGTCCTTGTGCTCATTTTTTGTATATTTTTTTCCAGCCTGCTGGTTACACTTCATATTTGACCAGTTGGTGCCAGATAATCACACTGTCTACTGTTGTTTTCATTTGTGAAATTTCTTTGGAGATAGATGGCTCCACAAGTTGATTTCCCTTTTCCACAAGTTTTTTTGGGAAAATAATATTTTTCTAATGTTCTTAATATCTGTTATTATTGTTGTTAGTGTTATGATTATTATAATGTTACTAATAATAATAGCAATAAAAAGAATAAATATTTTTTTTCTGAAAGTAAATGTAAAGGGTAAATAGGTTAGCTAGGTAGAACTAGTGATATAGAACTTGTGGAGCCATGTATGTGTAAAGACAATCACTAAACTTAAAGACACAATGGACATGCATGTGTTCTTGCCAACCCAAGTTCAGAGAATTTAATTTTGATAAGATCTCTTCTCTTTTCTTCTTTTCTTTTTCATTTTTCTTTATTTTTTATGACAGTTTCACAGCTTTTATACTGTTCTGTGTTGAAACTTTTTACCTGTCTTTCTTAAAAGACTACAAAGGGTTACATAATTATCTGTTTCTTTCTAATTCAGTATGATTAATCCTCCACTTTTTCTACAGAGGACCTTATTGTATACTTGAATGTTGGACAAATCACAAGGGAAGACCTGAAGGTGAAAGTCCAACCAAAGGAGCTCTGTGTCAAGATCAAGGATTCCACAGTACTCGAAGGACACTTCACTGACCTGGTTTCAGCAGACATGGTCACTTGGACAATAAGTAAGTTAATTGTCATGGGATTGTTTAAATTTCAGTGTAGCATTATTAGATATATCTATGTGTACCTCTCCAAATTACTAGTGATTATAACATGGTGATGTTCTAATCATTGTAAGTGATATGGTTTTAATTCATTAGTGGCAGGCTTTATGCACTGTCCACTGTCATTTTCTTTTGTTAGTTTTGCTTCTACATAGCTGGCTTTAAAAGAGCTTAGTCACCAAAGATTAATTGCTTGGCATTGCCAAATGTATAGGCTTAGATCCACCTGTGTTTTATTATAAATTTGATCTAATTAGTTATTTATGGTTTGGCCTTGAGTCTACCAATATGCGGCAAAACAATGAACCAAGACCAAGACCATGTTAAAATTCCAATGATTATAGTACAATATATTTTCTTACTGTTATTAGCATTCCAATTTTTTTTTTTGCCATTTTTGCTTTTTAGGGGAGACTACACTAGAGTTAACATTACCCAAGGCCTCAGAAGGGGTTAGATGGAAGCAGCTCCTGGAAGGTGATGATGTGAGTGGAGAGGAAGTGTTCGATCCGCAGTTAATTGAAGAGGTCAATCAAAGACTTGCACACCTTACATCTGATAAATTGGTGAGAGTTTATAGGTGCTTTTAAACACATTTGTATTATTACTGAAAATGCCTCTTGTATGCATGCCTGCATATGTTGCTGTTTTAATTACTGTCTTTACTGTTATCATCATCGTTACTTCAGTATCGTTATGAACTTCCTCATCTCCAAAATCGACATCACCACATCATATCTGTATACAACTTACACCAATTACTGTCATAGCCATTATTTCTTTTATTTCTTTTTCTCCTGTTCCTCCTAGGACGACAACCCAGACCTTGACAAGCCGGCTTACAACCCAGAGCAGTTGGAGGCATGCGATGAAGCCCAGGAAGACTTGCTTCTGCTCCACTTAGACGGGAGTACACATAAAACTGATTCTCTCGGCCAACTGGGAGCAACACAGCACCTATTTAATTCTCAGGTGAGAGTGACTGGCATAACCTTAGTAGGGTCCCTGAGATACCATTGCATCATCGTCATGTAAGTTGTATGATGGATTAGCTGTATTTTACTTTTTTCTTCTTTTTTAATAAGCATTTTAATTTATAATGATTTCTTTTTTTCTTTCTTTCTTTCCTTCTTTTCTTTTCAAATAAACATCTGTGTGATACATATTTATAAAAACAATATTGATTTTAGATTAATGTTCTCTAATGATCAAGAATTCTTTTTATATATATAAGCAAAGATGAAACAAGAATATTCACAAAAAATGCAGAGAATAACAAAGAAACTGAGAAGTAACAAATATTCACTGAAATGTACTTCTTCCAATACCACAGGTTCAAGGCTCAGCTATCCCTGCCTTCTGCATTCGAAGTGATGTTGATGGCATTCTATGGTTACCAGAGAAGGACAGTTATACCCATGTTGCAACTTTCAATGCTTTTGGCTATGTGAAAGCCTCAAAAACAATGGCTAAATTTACCTGTGCTTCTGCTGGTAAGTGATCATTGTGAAACTCATTCACTGATTTTGCTCTTAATGGATTATTGTCTTTCATGATGAGTAGGGTTATTTTAGAGTAAGTTTACATGATAATAAAGCAGAATACTATTTAATGTTAATTATTATTATTATTACTGTTATCATTATGAAAAATAGCTACTGTTACAAAGTTTCTAGATTTTCAAAAACTATGAAATATTTATTACATGGATATGACAAGTATTAATTTACACACTAATTTCAATAAATTCCTACTCCACAGACAACTCCTATGTAGCCATTGCAGATGTGAAGAGCCACATTTACGTGTTCTTCCAGTCAGAAGCATATAGTGGCGAACTACGGAATCGCAAATCTGGCAAGAGAATGAATACTGTAGCACGGCAGCTGGTGATCTCAATGAAGACTCATGACGAGATACTAGGGCTTCACTGTGATACTGATGTTCTCTTCGTGCTAACAGAGAAGACTCTGTATGCTTATGCCTTGCGCAGTTAGTTCCCATGATGTCATGTTTTGTAATGTTAGAAAGTCTGTCTGGTTTGTCAGAATGAGAAAGAATGTTTTGATGTAACTTGTAGATTAATTATGAATGTGAAAATTTGTTTACAGAGAGAATAAAATGTTTGTGAAACGAAAACGACATTATGTGATGTATGCTAAAATTTTCTGGAAATCATTCCATATGAGAGTAATTAATCAAAGGATGATATTATTTTCAAGAATCAGTAAAACAGATTTCGTGTAAATTTATTCACAAGTGCACTGACTAATAAATGTGTGCTTTGATATTGTGTGGAATTACTTAATATTTCCCTGGTCTTGTATGATTTTCAATACCATACACTGTCACAGTCCCAAACATATCAAATGTTCTTCTTCATCATTTTTTTACTGATGCATCACCAGGTAACCCCTTGGATCCGAATGATGTAACCGCCATATCATGAAAAAATTAGCCTGATGGCTAGGTCCATAAATATGCTGTCATAAAAAGTATTGACAGGGGGTCATGGGTGAAGTGAATATACTGTGAAAAAAATTTGGCGGAGGATAGGGATGGCAGAAGGCCATTACAAGAATTTTGGCTAAAGGCTGGAGTTACGGCAGGACTCGCCACAAAGCTCTAGGAGGGTGACTAGACTCAATGGGCATTAAGGAAGGGGTTCTTGTATTTCCATTAATAAATTAGTGTGGAAAGTATCTTTACTTGCTTCAGGGAGGACACTATTTCCATGCTCAGAATCCAATTCTTGCCTGCTATGATTCAAGATGTATTACAGAAAATTTAATATTGTGAAAAAATAAAAATGCCATAAATAACATAAGGTTAGTTATTGTTTTTGTTATTGAGTACCTAGAGAGATGATATGGAGTCAGTACAAGGAAAACAGTGTATGACCATCTTGGTACAACATATCAAATGACAAATATACCTCTTGCAAAATGGCAAAAAAAAACAAAAAAACACTTAAGTAGGAATAGAGGTAATATTGCATAGGGGAGGGAAGGAGTCTTGACACCACACATGAGCGTTTGTGCAGGCTAGCTCTACAAATAAGCCTAATGCCCGGACCATGCAGGCAGCAAGGTACTCAGATCCAAGGCGTTAATTAAAAACATCTGCAAGGTTAGGTATATGTTTAGTGAATGCATTGTTAAGATGCCTAAAGAGACTGTGATTCATTTACTAAACTTGATAAACCTAGAATTGATCAGCTAACTTTCATCCACACAGCCTCAGGCTATAATATCCTCGACTGTTACTACTACCTTGCATATTCAAAATACTCTGTTTACCCTCTAATAGCATCATAGCATAATATTTTGTGATGCATCATATTCTGTAATGGTGGTTTATCATAAATAATAGAAAAAAAGTTTCTACAACAAATATCACAGCATGTTTTGCATGATTCTGTGCTAGAAGTTATAATAACTGGTATAAAAAGAATAAGACATCTTTTGTCTTTTGGGTATTTCCATGCATTTAATACATTAATATTTCTTCCATGTCAAACAAAAGCAAATATTGAAGATACATATTCATCTGTCATAGTCCTGCTTCTTTGAACTAAAATTATCTGTAAAGAAAGTAATTTTAAAGGGAGTTTCAGATAGTTTCATATAGCGAAAGTGCCAGAATACTGAAACATTACACATAGCTGCCTCCACAAGTGCTAAGTCACCAGTGAGCCAATTATAAGTACTACCTGTCCCACCTGCTTTACCGTTTCCTTGATTTTTAAAAATAATTTCTGATATCTTATACTGCTGGTAGTAATGTCTGTAATGCTATAATAATAATGTCTTTAATGAAAATAATAGCATTGATACTCATAGCATTATTATTATTATTAAAGTTGAGGAAAGATGAAATCAGGTGAGGTCACAAGGCTACTAATTGACTCCTTTGTGGCTAAGCACTTGCAGAGCTCTCTATGTGCAGAGGCATTTCACAAAACAGTACTACAGTGAACACATTTCCCTGGTGACTGTGGCCATCTATAAAACATAAAATTATCTGACAATTACAAAGGTGAAAGGGTAAAGAAAAAATATAATTTTCCAATTTGTCATTCATTATGGCAATAAATGCTTTACTACTGATTCAGCATATATAAAATGCTAGCAAAATTCCCTATCTTGCCATAACAAGAATTTATAAAAAATACACTATCCATTAATCATAAAGTATTTTGGGTTCATTATCAGCACTATAAATATTTCTGGTCAATATGTAATTGACTAAAGTAGGCTACATTAGTAATTACAAATGAACATAACCTACATAAACTTTAAAAATTTAACCATTCCTCTGACAATATGCTGGGAACATCACAATCCAACAAAACCCCTTAATTTCTTAAGAACAGCAGAGCCCAAAATATATGGAATTTTATGAAAATTGCGCCACAGGAGCCGGAATGTCTGTTTAGCCGTCAGTACAGTAAGGTCCCATGATGTGCTGACTACCTTGCCCTCCAGCTTCTCAATAAATGCCCCATCTTCTCCAAGGGTATACTCATAGGTCTTGAAGATTGGAAAGGAGAAAAACACACGAGGAATGACCACACCCCAGATCTTTTTTAGGTGTGGAGAAGGCAATTCTACATCTGCCAGAGTTGCCAGGTCTTCCATGTATTGGAATTGGTCATTTTGCAGGATGTGGTACTGGTTTTCTTTCCATCCTTGCATCTTCCTCTCTTCAGCATAGGCTTCAGTCTCTGATTTCATTTCAGCTGTCCTTGGTAAGGGAGTTTTCCCTTTTAAGGTTGCAAGAAAGTATTGTACCTGTGAAAAAAATATGTATATGATGTATATACTACCTGGTGAAGACTTTCTCATTACTATTTCCAATCTTACATAATACAGTAAAATGAAATAAATATATCCAAACAGCATATTCCTTACTTCCTTAAAATATAGTCCTACCTGGTAGTTTATGAGTGGGAACACAATGATACGAGATGGGATTCCTATAAACCCCATGGTGGGAAAGGAAGCATTGATAATTTGCTTGTACAGTGGCTTTACATAGTTATTCTCAACAGTGATACCACAGTTATCTTCAAGAAATGGGAAGGTATATTTATAGCCTGAAATGGGAAAAATTCATGGTTATAGGCTTACAAAGTATGAATTTTAGATTATGTAATAAGATTATCTACTGTATTCTGCAACACAATTCTATTTTCAAGTATAAAATTAATGCACAGAATTATAGTCAACACATTACCAGTGCAGTATATTATGCAATCTGCTTCTTGTAAGGTACCGTCTTTAAGATAAAAGCCATTTTCTGCAGCTTTCAATATGCCTGGACCTTGTTTGATATTTGGAGGCAACTCAGAAGGGAAGGGAACTGGGAAGTTGTGAGAAAGAAGTACCTAGAAATAAAACAACTAAAGTAATAATAAAATCTAGGAAAACTACATGTAATGTTTCTCTGTTACAGATCAGAGTGATATATTTTTTTTTAAACTGGAAAACCAAATTCAGGTTGGTTTGGTTCTCACCTCCTTGGCAACAGTGGATACTTCCATTAAAATATCCAGCCCAGAGGCCCCAGCACCAACGATTATAACTCTGGAATCTGTGTATGGTGACGGTTCACGATAGTCATGACTATGAATTTGTTGACCTTTGAAATCCTCAATCCCTTCAATAAGTGGCTTTTGAGGCGTGGAGAAGTGTCTGTTGGAATTTCACATTACCTAGTGTTACTGCTATTTTAGAGACTACCATTTCAATCAGAAACATAATTAAGAATGGAGATAAATGGATGCAGGCAGTGCATAATATGCAAAGACATGCCTAACAATTGGAGGAAATAAAAAGTTCATTATTCAGACAAAATCATGCTTAACACTGTCATTTTACTATAATGTGAATTATACATTTCAATTATTAATTATTCTTTGGCATAATTTCAAATTACATATTTGTTCAAAATAGCATGCAATATAACATATTTTTTTCTCCATGACATAAAGTGGTTTATAATACTAAGTAAAAAAAAAAAAAAAAAATAAAAAATCTGCTAACGCAATAAAACAAAAATGAAAGTACAGTACACATGAATTCCAGCAAATCAAGCAACAGTATTATACTCTCAATAAATTTCCAACTTATCTACTGTAAAATTAAAAGAAAATATGAAAAATACTTTGGAATAAATACCCATTGCAAATAAGCAAGGCATCACAGGTGACAGTACTGACTACATCAGTTGACAGATCTTTCACTGTGACAGCCCAGGATGGAGGCCCTTCATCACTCTCCAATACAGCTACATTCTCAACATGGTGGCCGAGCTAAAAAATTAATATTTATGATTAAAATGTTTTTTCTTGAGGGAATAAGATGTTATATAAGCAAATACGTTAGACAGATATTTAGTGTTGATGTTACAAAAACAAGCAATCTTTCTGTAAATAGTAAATAGGATATGCAGCCTGTTTTTTCACATACTGGTTTGATTTCAGTAAGAATGAAAAATGTAAAACAGATCCCTGTAAAAACAAATAAAATCAGTAAATAAAAAAAGGTACTCAAAATATTCTTACTTTAATATATGGATGAAGATTGAAGTGATCAGCATAATCTTCCAGGTATTTGAGAACTGATGTGTGATGAGCAAAAGACTCTACCTCACTTGGAAAGTCAAAATCCGGGAATTTCATAATTAATTTTGGTAAATTTGTCCTGGTGATGTAAAGAAAGAAAGAAAGAAAGAAAGAAAGAAAAAATCAAAACCTATTAGTCGCCATGCATATAATCAATATGGAATTACAAATATCAAATCATTAGGAAAGCATAACAAATACACCAACAATCTTACTAAACAAATATCAAACAAAAAAATATTAATACACAGCTAACTCACCTCAGACTCTCATACATGCTTGAGTGTACAGGAAAACCTTTGCTATCTGTCCCAACGTCTTTGGAGAGCCTCCACGTACCACCTATCTGTGACGACTGTTCCCATACTATTGGGGTCAGCTCCTCTGAGGACAAGATGTGTCGAACAGCACAGAGACCAGCTGCCCCACCTCCAATGACTCCCACCACCTTCATGGTTCTGCAAGAATATAATAGTAAGAGGAGTAATAATTACCTTAATAATAATGATGATGAAGATGATGCTAAGAACAATATATATAATATATATATATAACATAATATATAAATAATATAATGTATATATAATATATATATATATATAAATATATATATGTATATATATAACATAATATATAAATAATATAATGTATATATATAAAACATAATTTATAAATAATATAATGTATATATAATATATATATAAATATAAATATATATATACACATATATATTTCTATATGAATACATATATGCATATATGTTTATGTATATATGTATATATACATATACATATACAAATATATACATACATACATTATACATACATATATATATATATACATATATACATACATATGCATGCTCACACACACACACATATATTTCATTCCTTCTCTTCCTATTTAAAAGTACAATATATGCTTTTCAAAAATACATATACTAAGCATATAATTTTTTTCTAATGCTAAATCTTTCCCTTTCTCTTCCTCTCTTTGTCTCCTACTTTTACATTTTCTCTTTTTTATTCTTTTCTTTCCTTTCTCTTCTTTCCTTCATACCCTTACTATTATTTTTTTGTATTCCTCTCCATGTTTCTTTTTTCTTATTTTGCTTTCTTGTTTCATTATACTCTCTATTTCATTTTTTTTATTGGTTTAGTTACTTAGGCTAATGTAAGTTATCTTTGGTAATGATATAAAATAAGTTAAATTTAGCTTGTTTTATCTGTACAGGAGTATGCTAATGAGGTTATTTTCTGCTGAATTTTGTTAGAAGCTACATTATGGTAAATTTCAGTTCAGTTTGGGTAGTTTTCATTGTAAATGAAATTGGGTAAGATATATCTCTTTCCATTATCATATATCTCTTGCTTTATTTTTTATTTATCTTCTTGATCCAAATAATGGATGTACATTTTGTAACATATAATTACTGAAACCTAGAAAGTATATCATTACTTTATATTTTTTTGTTTTGTGGGGGGGAGGTTAGTATATCACACACATTTAACAAAAAAGAAACCTTAAATACAACAATTAAAAAATGATATAGTTACAAATATGTTACATCCAATGAATAAAACAAAATAATATCAAATTTATTACAACCAACATAATAATTTTGCTGAATAGTTACTATAACCAAAGATAATTCCATACATTAATATATGAATACCAGAGCAAGATATCAATATTTTCTGATACAGTATATTTCACATAATTCATATGCCTTGACAAATACTCAACGCCTTGCCGTGTGTTATGGATAAACTGCGCTCGTGGTATTACTTATACAGTTTAGCTAAAATGTACTTAATTCTCGTTCTTTTTCAAGTCTGTTAGATTCTTTTATCACAAAATGTGACTGACAGCAAGCACAGTATTTGACAGATACGCAATACTATTTAGTCATAATGAGCGCTGTTGCCGAAATTCCAACGTCAGACACCACCAAACAATGACTGAATGTTAATCAAACACTTTTACGATCTCTAGAGAAGTCAAACTAGAAAAAAAAACTATCTAAGTTGTCTTAATAATAGTCTTCGACAATGCCTTCCGGAATATGAGTCAACGCGGATGACCTACGTGGCACACCTGCATGACACAACTTCCAGTTATAGTGGTTGGAGCCGAGAGCCAGCCTGGGCACCGTGGGTATTGACTCGTTCGAAAGAGTCTTCTTACGTGTGATGATGGCAGTGTCTGTTATGTTATTACTAACTTAATAATGATGATGATGGCGATGGTAACAGTGATAATGATGATGATGATGATTATAGTGATTATGATTATAACAGTAATAATATTAATAACAATAATAATAATATGGATAATGGTATAATAAGTGATGCTGATAGCAATAATGATAATGATCATCGGTATTATTATTATTATTGATATTATCATTATTATTATTATATTATTATTATTGTCATTATTATAATCACCATCATCTTTATTATTATTACTATTACTCTTTCTTTTATTACTATCATCATTAGCATTACTGTTACTAATAATAATCATACTAATTACAATAGCAAAAGTAATAATACTATGATAATTATCATTATCATTATTATCATAATCATCATTATCATTATTATTATTGTCATTATTATCATTACAATTATCATTATAAGTTTTATTATCAATATCATAACCATTATCATTATCATTATCAATATCATAACCATTATCATTATCATTATCAATATCATAGCCATTATCATTATAATAATTATCATTTTTGTTATCAGCATTATTACTCTTATTATTATCAATATTATTATTATTGTCATTATTATCATTATTATTATCATTATTATCATTATTGCTGTTATCATCATCACCATTATCAATATTATTATTATAATTATTATAATCATAATCATCATCATCAATATTACTATCATTATATATATATGCATATATGGAAGTGTATATATCAATCAATCAATTGGGACCTAACGCCGGCAGGGGCGCATAGCCGCATCCACCCTTCGCTTCCACCTACGAGGATCCCTCATGGCCAGCCGCCAGGCAGGGGCCCGGCCCATCTCTAGTTCCTCACGACAGGTTTGATCGATCTGCCCAAGCCACGACCTTCTCGGTCGTCCCACAGGCCTCCTCCACCCACGGTTGTCACGGACAGAGACAACCTGATGGGCAGGATCAACCTACGGGAGTCGAGCCAAGTGGCCATATAGCCTGAGTTGGCGATCACGGATTGTGCAAGTAACAGGTCCTGTACCGGTCTCACGATGTAGTCGTTGGTTGGACACATGGTCCCGCTAACTGTACCCCATGATCCGGGGCAGTATCAGGGCCTTGAAAACACGTGGACTTACCAGGAGTGAACCCAGATTGCTCCGGTCTTTCGTGCCTCAGGAGGTGGTCTCTGATGCGTCTCAGTAAGATGTGCGCGAGTATCTTGCCTGGTACACTGAGCAGTGTAATGTCTCGGTGATTGCTGCAGTCCCACCGATCCCCTTTCCCCTTCCAGTGTATATATATATATATATATATATATATATATATATATATATATATATATATATAATATATATATATATATATATATTATATAATATATTATATATATATTATATATATATATATTATATATATATATATATATATATATATATATATATATATTATATATACATATATTATATATTATATATATATTATATACATATATATATATATATATATATATATATATATATATGTATATATACATACACACACACACACACATATATATATATGCATATATATAAGTGTGTGTGTGTGTGTATGTATGTATGTATGTATGTATATATATATACATACATACATACACACACATATATATCTTTGTATGTGTGTGTGTGCGTGTAAATGTATGTATGTATGTACACACACATAAATGTACACACAAACACACACACGCGCGCGCGCGCACTCTCTCTCTCTGTTATCACTTATAGACATCACTGTATTCATAATGATGAAATAAATCCGGAAACGAATTTTGAAAAAAAAAAAAATCGCGTTGCACATAATGTATAACCGCTCGACTGTTTCAAAGACATTCACTTCACTTTAAATAGGGAAAGCTAAACCTAGTACATGGTGACGGTCGATGTCTGGTGCGAGTTTCAATCGTGGACATTTTCGCTGACCAAAGACCCCGCGCTACGTTGTCTCTACAAAAAATACTATTAAACCGCTATACACGAACAAGTGCACTGAATACCAGTTAACTCTTCTCAGGGGAAGGTTTATTCACATCTCGTACCTTTTACCAGCGACGTTGGATTGGGCATCGTTACTGCACATCTATGATTATTATTCACTGTGCAGGGAAGCATTCTTTTCTTAACAGCCTGTAGACTTTCTAGCCATGCCCGTTTCGCCGATGTCTACTTCCTACCACGATTAAATACAAACTGTGAACAAAAAAAGGTCAAATTTCAGGCTGAGGCATCTGCGGCTGGTTAGCGTAACATTCGAAGTGAGGGTTGATGGCATTCTATGGTTACCAGAGTAGGACAGTTATACCCATATTGCAACTTTCAATGCTTTTGGCTATGTGAAAGCCTCAAAAACAGTGGCTAAATTTACCTGCGCTTCTGCTGGTAAGTGATCATTGTGAAACTGATTCACTGACTTTGCTCTTAATGGATTATTGTCTTTCATGGTGATCTCAATGAAGACTCATGACGAGATACTAGGGCTTCACTGTGATACTGATGTTCTCTTCATGCTAACAGAGAAGACTGTATGCTTATGCCCTGCGCATTTAGTTCTCATGATGTCATGTTTTGTACTGTTAAAAAGTCTGTCTGGTTTGTCAGATTGAGAAAAAATGTAACATGTACATTAATTATGTATGTGAAATTTTGTTTACAAAGAGAATAAAACGTTTGTGCAAGGAAAAAGACATGATGTGATGTATGCTAAAATTGTTCTGGAAATCATTCCAAATGAGAGTAATTCATCAAAGGATGATATTTTCAAGAATCAGTAATACAGATTTCTTGTAAATTTATTCGCAAGTGCACTGACTAATAAATGACCGGGCTCCCCAAATAGGCATAGCCCGGGCGAGGCTCTGCTTCGCGAATCCAAAAAACAACAACAACAACAACAACAACAACAACAACAACAACAACAACAACAACAACAACAACAACAACAACAACTACTAATAAATGTGTGCTTTGATATTGTGTGGTATTACTGAATATTTCCCTGGTGTTGTATGATTTTCAATACCATACACTGTCACAGTCCCAAATATATCAAATGTTCTTCTTCATCATTTTTTACTAATGCATCACGAGATAACCCCTTGGATCCGAATGATGTAACCGTCATATTGTGAAAAAATTAGGCTAAGGGCTAGGTGCATAAATATGCTACCAAAAAATGTTGGCAGAGGGTCATGGGTGATGTTGAATATACTGTGAAAAAAATTTGGCTGAGGATAGGGATGGCAGAAGGCCATTACGAGAATTTTGGCTAAAGGCTGGAGTTACGGCAGGACTCGCCACAAAGCTCTAGGAGGGTGACTAGACTCAATGGGCATTAAGGAAGGGGTTCTTATATTTCCATCGATAAATTAGTGTGGAAAGTATCATCACTTGCTTCAGGGAGGGCACTATTTCCATGAAAAAATAAAAATGCCATAAATAACATATGGTTACTTACTGTTTTTGTTATTGACTACCTAGAGAGATGATATGGAGTCAGTACAAGGAAAACAGTGTATGACCATCTTGGTACATATCATATGACAAATATACTTCTTGTAAAATGGCAAAAAAGCAAAAAAAAACACTTAAGTATGAAAAGAGATAATAACATTGCATAGGGTTGGGAAGGAGTCTTAACACCACACATGAGTGTTTGTGATGCTAGATCTACAAGCCACATACCCGAGAATTGCCCCCTCAAATAAGCCTAATGCCTGGACCATGCAGGCAGCAAGCTACCCAGATCCAAAGTGTTAATTAAAAACCTAAAAGATTCGGTACAGTAAGTCCCCAACTTAAGAACATAATGGGGACCGAGAGGCTGTTTGTAAGTTGATTTGTTTGTATGTCTCCATTACCTTTTTTCCCATTGTTTTAAAGTTTTGTTTACATTAAGAATACCTGTAAATAAATCCCAATAGGTATGATATACCTTATACAGTACCACTCTTGAACTATATTCGTGCCCGGGAAATTTGAAGTTTGCTAGCATCTTTCAAACATTTTTTTGGACTTTTGTACTTAAAAAATTTTGTTTGTATGTATGGAATGTTCATAAGTAGAATGTTCTTAAGTAGGGGACTATCTGTATATGTATAGTGAATGCATTTTTAAGATGCCAAAAGAGACTGATTCATTTACTAAACTTGATAAAGCTAGAATTGATCAGCTAACTCATCCACACAGCCTCAGGCTATAATATCCTCTACTGTTACTACTACCTTGCATTTTCAAAATACTCTGTTTACCCTGGAATAGCATCATAGCATAATATTTTGTGATGCATCATATTCTGTAATGGTGGTTTATCAGAAATAATAGAAAAAAAAGTTTTTACAACAAATATCACAGCATATTTTGCATGATTCTGTGTTAGAAAGTATAATAACTGGTATAAAAAGAATAGGACATCTTTTGTCTTTTGGGTATTTCCATGCATTTAGTACATTAATGTTTCTTACACATCAAACAAAGCAAACATTGAAGATACATATTCATCTGTCATAGTCCTGCTTCTTTGAACTAAAATTATCTTTAAAGAAAGTAATGTTAAAGGGAGGATCAGATAGTTTCATATAGTGAAAGTGCCAGAATACTGAAACATTACACATAGCTGCTTCAACAAGTGCTAAGTCACCAGTGAGCCAATTATAAGTACTACCTGTCCCACCTGATTTACCGTTTCCTTGATTTTTAAAATTATTTCTGATATCTTATACTGCTGGTAGTAATGTCTGTAATGCTATAACAATTATGTTTTTAATGAAAATAATAGCATTAATACTCATAGCATTATTAAAAGAAAAGAAAAAAAAAAGTTATTCCCGCAAAGTCAAGGAAAGATGAAATCAGGTGAGGTCACAAGGTCTACTAATTAACTCCTTTGTAGCTAAGCACTTGCAGAGCTCTCTATATGCAGAGACATTCCACAAAACAGTACTACAGTGAACACATTTCCCTGGCAATGGTGGCCAACTATAAAACACAAAATGATCTAAAAATTACCAAAGATTAAAAGAGTAAAGAAAAAATATCATTTTCCAATTTATCATTCATTATGGCAATAATTAAATGCTTTACTACTGATTCAGCATATATAAAATGCTAGCAAAATTCTCTTTCTTGCCATAACAAGAATTTATCAAAAACACACTATACATTAATCATATTTTGGGTTCATTATCAGCACTATAAATATTTCTAGTCAATATGTAATCAGCTAAAGTTGGCTACATTAGTAATTACAAATGAACATACCCTACAATAAACTTAAAAAATTTAACCATTCCTCTGACAATATGCTGGGAACATCACAATCCAACAAAACCCCTTAATTTCTTAAGAACCGCAGAGCCCAAAATATAAGCAATCTTAGGAAAATTGCGCCACAGGAGCCGGAATGTCTGTTTAGCCGTCAGTACAGTAAGGTCCCATGATGTGCTGACTACCTTGCCCTCCCACTTCTCAATTAATGCCCCATCTTCTCCAAGGGAATAATCGTAGGTCTTGAAGATTGGAAAGGAGAAAAACAGACGAGGAATGACCACACCCCAGATCTTTTTTAGGTGTGGAGAAGGCAATTCTACACCTGCCAGAGTTGCCAGGTCTTCCATGTATTGGAATTGGTCATTTTGCAGGATGTGGTACTGGTTTTCTTTCCATCCTTGCATCTTCCTCTCTTCAGCATAGGCTTCAATCTCTGATTTCATTTCAGCTGTCCTTGGTAAAGGAGTTTTCCCTATTAAGGTTGCAAGAAAGTATTGCACCTGTGAAAAAAATATCTGTATATGATGTATATACTACCTGGTGAAGACTTTCTCATTACTATTTCCAATCTTACATAATATAGTAATAAAAAAATAAATATATCCAAACAGCATATTCCTTACTTCCTTAAAATATAGTCCTACCTGGTAGTTTATGAGTGGGAACACAATGATACGAGATGGGATTCCTATAAACCCCATGGTGGGAAAGGAAGCATTGATAATTTGCTTGTACAGTGGCTTTACATAGTTATTCTCAACAGTGATGCCACAGTTATCTTCAAGAAATGGGAAGGTATATTTATAGCCTGAAATGGGAAAAATTCATGCTTATAGGCTTATAAAGTATGAATTTTAGATTATGTTATAAGATTATCTACTGTATTCTGCAACACAATTCTATTTTCAAGTATAAAATTAATACACAGAATTATAGTCAACACATTACCAGTGCAGTATATTATGCAATCTGCTTCTTGGAAGGTACCGTCTTTAAGATAAAAGCCATTTTCCGCGACTTTCAATATGCCTGGACCTTGTTTGACATTTGGAGGCAACTCAGAAGGGAAGGGAACTGGGAGGTTGTGAGAAAGAAGTACCTAGAAATAAAACAACTTCAGTAATAATAAGACCAAAGAAAATTACATGTAATGTTTCTCTGTTTATGGATCAAAGTGATATATATTTTTTTAAACTGGAAAACCAAATTCAGCTAAGTTCTGAAAAGTCTAATTCTTCAACAATTTTTGGTTCTCACCTCCTTGGCAACAGTGGATACTTCCATTAAAATATCCAGCCCAGAGGCCCCAGCACCAAGGATTATAACTTTGGAATCTGTGTATGGTGACGGTTCACGATAGTCATGACTATGAATTTGTCGACCTTTGAAATCCTCAATCCCTTCAATAAGTGGTTTTTGAGGAGTGGAGAAGTGTCTGTTGAAATTTCACATTACTTAGTGTTACTGCTATTTTAGAGACAAGCATTTCAATCAGAAACATAATTAAGAATGAAGATAAATGGATGCAGGCAATGCATAATATGCAAAGGCATGTCTAACAATTGGAGGAAATAAAAAGTTCATTATTCAGACAAAATCATGCTTAACACTGTTATTTTACCATGACGTGAACTATACATTTCCTATATTAATTATTCTTGGGCATAATTTCAAATTACGTAGTTGTTCAAAATAGCATGCAATATAACATGACATAGAGTGGTTTACAATACTGAAAAAAAAAAAAAAAAAAAAATCTGTTAACTCAATAAAACAAATTAAAGTACAGTACGCATGAATTCCAGCAAACCAAGCAACAGTAATATACTATCAATATATTCCCATCTTATCTACTTTAAAGTTAAAAGAAAATATGAAAAATACTTTGGAATAAATACCCATTGCAAATAAGCAAGGCATCACAGGTGACAGTACTGACTACATCAGTTGATAGATCTTTCACTGTGACAGCCCAGGATGGAGGCCCTTCATCACTCTCCAATACAGCTACATTCTCAACATTGTGGCCGAGCTAAAAAATTAATATTCATGATTAAAATGTTTTTTCTTGAGGGAATAAGATGTTATATAAGCAAATACGTTGGACAGATATTCAGTGTTGATGTTACAAAAACAAGCAATCTTTCTGTAAATAGGAAATAGGATATGCAGCTTGTTTTTTCACATACTGGTTTAATTTCAGTAGGAATTTAAAAAAAAATGTAAAACAGATCCCTGTAAAAACAAATAGAAAACAAAAACTGCACAATAAAAGATATTACACACTAAGGTACTCAAAATATTCTTACTTTAATATATGGATGAAGATTGAAGTGATCAGCATAATCTTCCAGGTATTTGAGAACAGATGTGTGATGAACAAAAGATTCTACCTCACTTGGAAAGTCAAAATCCGGGAATTTCATGATCAATTTTGGTAAATCTGTCCTGGTGATGTAAAAAAAAAAAAAAAAAAAAAAAAAAAATCAAGCATTATAATCAATATAGAATTACAGATATCAAATCATTAGGAAAGCATAACAAATACACCAACAATCTTAGACCAAACAAATATCAAACAAAAAAAAATTAATACACAGCTAACTCACCTCAGACTCTCATACATGCTTGAGTGTACAGGAAAACCTTTGCTATCTGTCCCAACGTCTTTGGAGAGCCTCCACGTACCACCTATCTGCGACGACTGTTCCCATACTATTGGGGTCAGCTCCTCTGAGGACAAGATGTGTCGAGCAGCACAGAGACCAGCTGCCCCACCTCCAATGACTCCCACCACCTTCATGGTTCTGCAAGAATATAATAGTAATTTAAGAGGAGTAATAATTACCTTGATGATGATGATGATGATATATATAACATAATATATATATAATGTAATATATATATAATATATATAAATATATATATATAAAATTTGTTTCATTATACTCTCTAATTCCTCTTTTATTGGTTTAATTACCTAGGTTAATCTACGTAATCTTTGGTAATGATATAAAATAAGTTAAATTTAGCTTATTTTATCTGTACAGGAGTATGCTCATCAGGTCATTTTCTGCTGAATTTTGTTAGAAGCTACATTATGGTAAATTTCAGTTCAGTTTTCATTGTAAAAGAAATTGGGTAAGATATATTTCCTTCCATTAACAAATATCTCTTGCTTTATTTTTTATTTCTCTTCTTGATTCAAATAATGGATGTATATTTAGTATCCTGTTTAATCTATAAAAAATTAAAAAATATAATTACTGAAACCTAGAAAGTATATAATTACTTATTAATTTTTTGTTTTGTGGGAGGTTAGTACATCACACATTTAACAAAAAGAAACATTAAATACAACGATTTAAAAATGATATAGTTACAAATATCCCAATGACTAAAACAAAATAATATCAAACTAATTACAGCCAACATAATAATTTTGCTGAATAGTTAATATAATCAAAGATAATTCTATACATTAATACATGAATACCAGAGCAAGATATCAATATTTTCTGATACAGTATATTTCACATAATTCATATGCCTTGACAAATACTCAACGCCTTGCCGTGTGTTATGGATAAACTGCGCTCTTGGTATTACTTATACAGTTGTTTAGCTGAAATGTACTTAATTCTCGTTCTTTTTCAAGTCTGTTAGTTTCTTTTTTCACAAAATGAGACTGACAGTAAGCACAGTATATGACAAATACGGAATACAATTAGCCATAATGAGCGCTGTTGCCGAAATTCCAACGTCAGACACCACCAAACAATGACTGAATGTTAATAAAAAATTTCTACACTCTCTAGAGAAGTCAAACTAAAAAAAAACTATCTAAGTTGTCTTAAAAATAGTCTTCGTCACTGCTTTCCCGAATATGAGTCAACGCGGATGACCTACGTGGCACACCTGCATGACACTACTTCCTTTTATAGTGGTTGGAGCCGAGAGCCAGCCTGGGCACCGTGGGTATTGACTCGTTCTTATGAGTCTTACGTGTGATGATGGCAGTAGCTATTATGCTGTTACTAACTTAATAATGATAATGATGGCGATGATAGCAATGGTAATGATGATGATTACAGTGATTATGATTATAACAGTAATAATATTAATAACAATAATAATAATATTGATAATGGTATAATAAGTGATGCTGATAGCAATAATGATAATGATCATTGTTATTATTATTATTATTGATATTATTATTATCATTATTATTATTATTGCTGTTATAATCATAATGTATATCATCATTATTACTAGTATCATTATTACTATTATTATTATTATTATTATTGGTCTTATTATTGTCATTCTTATAATCACTATCATCTTTATTATTATTACTATTATTATTATTATTGTTGTTGCTATCATTGTTATAATAATCATTATTATTATTATTATTACTATTACTCTTTCTTTTATTACTATCATTATTAGGATTCATTAATAATCATACTAATTGCAATAACAAAAGTAATAATACTATAATAATTATCATTATCATAATCATCAGCAACCTTATTATTATTATTATTATTATTATTATTATTATTATTATTATTATTATTATTATTACTATTATTATAGTCATTATTATCATTACAATTATCATTATCACTTTTATTATCAATATCATAACCATTATCATTATAATAATTAAAATTTTTGTTATCATTATTACCATCATTATTATTATTATTATTATTATTGTCATTGTTATTATTATTATTATTAATTAGTATTATCAACATTATTAATGAGTATTATTATTATTATTAATTAGTATTATTATTATCATTATTTTTATTATTATCATTATTATTGTTATCATTATTACTATTATCATCATCATCATTATCAATATTATCATTATAATTATTATAATCATTATCATCATCAATATTACTATCATATATATATATATATATATATATATATATATATATATATATATATATATATATGCGTATATGTAAATGTATATATGCATAGATATATGTATGTATATATATATATATGTATGTATATGTATATGTATATAAGTATGTATATATACATATATATATTGTATATATACATATATATATGTGTATGTGTGTGTGTGTGTATGTGTGTGCGTGTAAATGTATGTATGTATGTATATATGTATGTACACACACATATATGTACACACACACACACATACTCTCTCTCTCTCTCTCTATCTATCTGTATCTATCTCTCTCTCTGTTATCACTATAGACATCACTGTATTCATAATCGTGTTGCACATAATGTATAACCGCTCGACCTACCATTGTTCCAAAGAGATTCCCTTCATTTTAAATAGGGAAAGCTAAACCTAGTACACGGTGAGGATCGATGTCTGGTGCGAGTTTCAATCGTAGACATTTTCGCTTTCGCTTTATCTTCATTGAAATGTCAAATAATGAAAACGAGAAAAAAATATTTGAGAAAAGTCGTATTTACCTCTTGTAAAGCCTTTGTTGTGAGTGATAGACGGATGTGAAGGTTAATTTTAATAAAGGTAAGTGTAATCTTATCATTACAAAGATTATATCACTGTTGTTATCGCCTCCTGATAGTTGCTCGCCCAAGCACTTTCGGTATGAACGTTTTCTGTAAGATCATCCTGTCAATATGGACTCACACGTACGCATACGCACGTAGACAAACACACGCATACAGACATAAATGTACAAACACACACTTGTAAACGCATGTAGTATGTGTGTGTACGCACGCATGCACGCACACACATACACAAACGTACGCACACACGCACGTACGCGCACATACACAAACATACGCACACACACACACACACACACACACACACACACACACATATATATATATATATATATATATATATATATATATATATATATACATACATACACACATACATGCCATGCATACACACATACATATATACAAAAATGCGCACGCACACACCCGCACGCATACATACACGCACGAACGCACACACACACACGCGCACACACACACACACACACACACACTTATCGATCGATTGCGATTTGCGAAGTTCTGGCTTCGCCCGGGCCTTCGGCTATGGCCCGGCCTGTGTACACACTTATCATAATATAATATGTTCGTTTATGTCAACATATTCTCTCCACATGTTTATTAAAAATAATTCGATGGTTGAGAAATGGCACGGACAAGGAATATGTATATATGTATATGAATATGTATATATATATGTGTGTATGTGTGTGTGTGTGTGTGTGTGTGTGTGTGTGTGTGTGTGTGTGTGTGTGTGTGTGTGTGTGTGTATACATGTGTGTGTGCGTGTATATGCGTGCATGTGTTTATATATGTATGTGTGTATTAAATACATATGTTTATATATATATATATATATATATATATATATATATATATATATATGTATGTATGTATGTGTGTATTTATGAACATGTTTTCAAGTATAACATATTTTGAAACAAGTTTACATCGAAAATGGATATGCTTGAAATCTTTACTTATGACAACCTATCGGAAACATCTTACCTAATTTTCTCCTCTACAAATTTCGTTTTTTAAAAAGGGTATCAATCACTCCATGCGACGGAAGTGTGCACTCCGGACCTCTTCCAAGTCGTCTGCGGAAACAAGCTGTTAAGTAATTAGGAAATTTGGTCATTTATAAATTCCGCGAGGAGTCAATTAAGCTGGTGAGAAAACCTTACTGATATTTCCAGACAAAGTGTTATGTGATTTATCTTATCAAAATTATATTTTTCACATGTATAAATCTAACAGAATCTCTCTCTCTCTCGCTTTACATATGCATATGTCAAGATTGTTTTCAGATTAAACGTTGTCATCGATGTTTGCCGATCAAGATTGTGTGAAGTGGCACTTGTTCTAATTGTTCTATTAGAAGGATAACGACACACATTTCAAGTAATAATGTTGCCATTTTACATTTGACATTGTAATGTTGCTCTTGCAGAAATATAATTGTTTAGGTGAATTCGAACAAGAAACAAGAAGTATTCTAAAGATAGTAAATTCCTTACAATTTGATTTTGCACATCACTTTGTTTACAGACACACATTGTTTCAATTGTTTAACTTAATAAAACATCTCACACATGTTATTCCACTTACGATTTGTTGCTTTCTCTGCATAGCTTGAGTGACCAAAGACCCCGCGCTACGTTATCTCTACAGAAAAATACTATTAAACCGCCATACACGAGCGAGTTGAATACCAGTTAACTCTTCTCAGGGGAAGGTTTATTCACATCTCGTACCTTTTACCAGCGACGTTGGATTAGGCATCGTTACTGCACATCTATGATTATTATTCACTGTGCAGTGGAGCATTCTTTTCTTAGCCTGTAGACTTTCTAGCCATGCCCGCTTCGCCAATTTCTACTGTTATATTCCATTAAAAAGGAAACGAGATATTATTATTATTGTTATTATCGTTATTATTATTATTATTATTATTATTTTTATTATTAACAAGAGTATTCTAAAGATAGTAAATTCCTAACATTTTGATTTTGCATATCACTTTGTTTACGTAACACGGAAGTTGAGGGAAGTAGGAGAGTTAAATCTACGGCCGACTTATCGTTGAAAAAAAAATTCATATGGCTGGTCCTTTAGAGCAGTGGTTCTCAAACTGGGTGCCGCGGTACCCTGGGGTGCCACGGACAGCGCCTAGGGGTGCCACAAGATTGCCATGAATTTTGTCTTGGCTAGATCGTTTCAAGGTACATTTGTAAAACAGTTTGTAGCAGTCTGCCTATAATTAAATGTCGGTGTAGGAAGTTACTTGCTCTAATATTTTACTAAAAT